AAGCGCTTCTATATATACTAATAAGTTCTATAATCTAACTATTATAAGGTAAATACGACTATATTAGATATATATAGTAAAACTATATACTACTATATAGTAGGCGAGAGTATTTAGTAGGTAGGGAAGACTTCTAGTTTATATATTTATAAAGTTGTATAAAATAGTTAGTTTTACGTTTTGCTTTATAGATTCTAGTTCTATAGTAATAGATAAGTTAGATAGTCTTTTATTTTTCTATATATAAACTAGATTGCAATGTGTACTAGATTGTAACAGAAACAAATTAGACTAGAAATGAAAAGTACTGTATAGTCTGCGCTTGTTACGCGTATAGCACAAGCCACTGCTTAGATCACCGCACTAGCCTTCTTTGGCAGCTGTTAGTCTAAGCAGGAGATAGGAAGCTTTGCGGGGCTCGGACGCGCTCTTCGACTTGCACAACCTTCAAAATCATTCATCAAAGCTCACCCTATCGCTATCGAGGGTGCCTCCGGACGCCCTCTCATGCTTGCACAAGATTCAATGAATACAAGGGCACTTGCTTCTGCGTAGTGCCAGCCATGATAGCGCGATGTGGTCGTCTCTCACTCAATCCCGCACGCGATAGAGGGAGATTCAGTACGAATGCCATCAAGCGATTCTGGACAACACAATGTTCCGCAAATTCTACATTCCAGCGTTCATCCTCTGAGTCGATAGCAACACCTCAAGTCCGGCAAGGAGCAGCTCAAAGCCAGGATTACAGCCCGGCAAAGAATGAAAAGCAGCGATACTCTCAGGATGAAGATACCATTATAATCCTGCGGAAAACCGAAGGATCCTCAACTTCAAGCATTGCTGAGGAGCTTGACCGCTCAAAGCAGAGTATCTCGCAGAGAATCCAAACTCTGTCTCAGTATTACCCCAATCTTCGGAAGCGAGGCAAAGGATTGACAGCAGCCGAGCAGGCTGAGGTGCATTCCATACAGCGTAGCATTTTCGATGACGGCTTAAGCATTGCTGAAGTCTGTCAAAAGATTGGTCGCTCGGGTACGTACGTTCGGAACAGACTTCGTTGGGGTCAACGACGCACAAGGCCGGGAAGGACTGCTGAGCTCGAAGCACTTGTATTGGCCATGAAAGCCAGAGGATACAAATACGAGTCTATAGCACATAATCTCGAGATCGAGATCGACAAAGTCCAGAACATCCTCGCTGCTAGTAGCCGCTTACGTCAACACACGCCAAAAGAAGACCCCCCCAAGGGCATACGTAAGCAACGCAAACATTATGGCTGGACGTCGAACGAAGAGTCAAAGTTGCTGGCACTCTACGAGCAAGGTCAAACAGCGCCAAGTATAGCTCGTGAGCTGAACAGACATCCCGTGCGCACACGAATTCGCTTACGGGAGATGCTCATATCCAGAGGTCACCTGGTTCCAAACGGAAAGTTGCGCTACTTCCAATCAACTCTGGAAGAAGTGGTCAATCTACGTGAGAAATCCAAACTTACATGGAAGCAAATTGCAGAACGCTTCCCAGAGAAGTCTGCTCGCGCATGGCAAGCGCAGTACTTTGCCCACAAGAAACGGATCAAAGGAAAATCTTGACCTTGTTGCATACGAAGGAGATCTATCTCATCATACAGCTTGGATACATACACATTATGTGGACTGCTTCAGGACTAGTTCATACCTCGCCTGGCTCTCCGCAATCTGCAGCGGACTGATAATCAGCTGGCTAATGATCCGAAACTATTTGCCGACGTTGTGCAGCCAGATGTGCTGGGTTGGACGAGCAGAGAAGTGGCTCACCGCCAGGAGCTACCGCAGTTGTTCGTCACCAATCACAAGCGTATCTCCTGCGAAGAACCATCTCAAGCCCTCTGAGCATGGCGGTGTTGTTAAGCTTCCTCCATATGTCCAGAATGTTCGGAAATCTGAAACTTCCACCAAGGCCAGGTCGGGTTGAAAATTCTGAACCTGTATCTCACGGGCCCCGTCATCAGGACTTGGAAATGTTTCCTAGCTGTTCAGAGAAGTTGCTATGTGCATCGTTCCTGGTGTAGCTTGGATCAAGTCTGAACCCTACTACGGCTTTCGCGTTTCCTTTGGCGTCGACATGAACGAAGTGGAGCTCAGCAATACTCCGATCTCCAGCAACAATGTGCTCGGCAGGAGCGTGTGTATGCCAGCTCTGCAGGTATACTATCTCTTCATTGAACAAGAGGCTCGGCAGCTTTGTATATTCGCCTTCGGGAAATGTCCATCTCGAACAACAGGCCATAACCACTGTTGCTCAATTTGCCTGTCCAGGAGCCAGAATAGTTGAAGCTTGGACCGTGGGAAAATCGAGAGAGCTGAGATTCCGAAAGTGCTATAGGACTCTGCTGAGTGCCGTTCTGACATTGTCCATTTTCTGGTTTGTCGGCCCAGCTATTGTCGGCATTTCCGATTGGCAAGTGTCCACCTTCCCGATTTGCCGATGCAGCCGGAGAATAAGCTTTTGTGCAGAAGTCGCCTTTGGTGTTGGAGATGATGAAGTTGAAGGAGATGTTGCTTTGCGTGAAATGTCAATAGATAGTACTACTCAATATCGAGTACCTACATGACATTTATAAGCCGTCTCATTCGGTTCCTCCTTTCTTCATTTTATATCGCAAGAACACTCTCAATATCCGCAATCCTATTCTCCAAGTTCTTCGACAAGCCTACGAATCCATAAGGTATCCTTTGACTAGATCGCTATAGCTGTCTTCGGCTGTGTCCCAGGTATTATTCCATTTGGTCAATTTGAGTTCCGAAGGAAGATGTGTTTAGGCCAGTACAACCTGTGCAAGCACTTCCAGGGACTTGTTGGTAGTTACAGTTGATCGAAGATACGATTCATAGTGTGTCTCGTATGATGAGGCACCTTATTCATCTGGAGAGCCGCGGAGGGTCTGAGCTGCAATTTCGGCGCTGTCCAGTCCTGTCGCAGTGGGCGCCTAGGCACTGGTAGAAGGTGTTGTCTTGCGTGACCAGCTTCTGGTGCTGGGTCGTTCGAGAGCCAAGACCATGGCTGCTTCGAATTGATTGGCAATGTGTGTGTTCATCTCGAAGTCCACCTCGCGGTACATGTAAAGTAGCGAATGCGCTCGTACAACCATTCCATCACTGCTTCTCATTTTTCCCATTCTCCACATCCTTCCCCTCAGAATCCCCGCCCTGCTCTTCCACCACCACCTCACCTTCACTCTTCGTTTGAGCGAAATAAGCCCAATAATGTAGATAAACGACACCAGCACTAGCAATAACGGCCAGAAAACCCACAACCCCAAAACGTCTTTTACCTTCACTGCTCATAATCCAGCTTGCCGACCATCTCATTACAGGCGTGACTAGCGCTTGTCTTTCGCGATCCAAATCAGGATTACACGTCACGAGCAGCATAGCCAGAGCGATGAGAATTAGGAAAAGAAGGACAACAGTCAAGACTTGGATTTCAGCGAGGAGGAAGGTGATGTTGCGTGTCGTTTGGAGGACTTCGAAACCTTCTGCCACGAGAGGCGTTACTGCGATGCTTATCAGCCTTATGTGTGTGACAGAGACCGCTGGGCGTTACTCGCCTTGGTCGAAAGCGGCATTGATTTGCTTGCTATATGGTATTCCCATGCTGTTGGTAAAGCTGATGCGAGCAGGGTTTGGTGGGTGCTGTAGTACTGTTAAACCTATGCTGCGAAGATATCCATGTCCTCGCTCTTTTCTGAAGGATCTGTAGCACCTGGAAACCTGCTGATGACTTGTGATGACGTTGGGAATGAGATCCTGGTTTGTGCTTGAGAGCTTCTCGTAGACAGCCGGAGATACTTTCTTTCACACCCAGAATGCGCCTCGAGACTAAAAGGAACAGCTTCACTCTACACAACGCCTCGAATAATAATCTCGCCTATGGCATCCGGTGTCGACCACGGAAAGTAAGCTTGAATGGACTCCCAATCTCGCCCTGCCGTGTCGCAGAGGCGGATAAGATCATCTCGGTCTGTAGAAGTCCAAGCTTGCTCTGGTCTAGGGCTTGGCATCTGATGAGATGGAAAACCGCACTGCAAGCCTGCAGGGTGTTCAACGTCAAGATCCAGAGTCAGAGCTTCTCTGATCTGCGAAAGATCTTGATCGGAGGTCTTAATCCCCACATTCTCTTGTGTCGTCAGTGTACGGTCGCTTTCTGAGACCTGATGGAATCCAGTATCCCAAGGTCTCTAGTGAATGTACTCTGCGATTTCAGTGTTGATGAATCTGGCACTGGGGCAATGATGTCTTGCCATTCCATCTGTATAGAGAAGGATGCAGAGTCGGCCGTCGTAATTCAACACTCTCAAGCTTTGCTACCTTTCTAGTCCCATGTACTTTGCATGGTTCGGCTTGCTTTGCCTTTCAGGAGCTTCTTCCCTTGCTTACAGCATGCAGGCTCCTTCACATTGAGTTCCAACCACTCTTCATCAATCTTATCGTTGGCATCGATAAGCCTCTCGGCTTGCATGAGATATATCATCGAAACTTCAGAGTGCTTATTCGTCTCAGCAAGTCGAAGCCATCCACGTAGAAATTCCGCCAGAGAAGGCCAAGTGATCGCAGCAAGCTCGACGGCTTCGGTACCTTCACATAGATCTTGTAGCTGCGGGTGCACAGTTGCAAAGCACAGCCCTCGCTCTAATAAGTTTGGCGTCAGTCGGAGTCCAAGCATTGAGTCCTCGACCAGATGGAGTTCGAACGTCTCATCCGCATTGAGGATCTTGAAGCGTGCTGGTACGGATGGTAGAAGCTAGGGTTCAAAAGGTCTGGTAGTTCTTCATAGAGGTCTGGTCTTGTCTGCAGCACGGCCACCGAGGAAGATCGCTGGGATGCTGAAATGCACAGTTCGATATCCTGTGCACGTTAGCGTGGAGGACCTGACAACCTGGCAGTAGATCTGGTTACTTACATGTGTAACAATGTCTACCCCATGATAGCTAAGGCCCACATCTCCAGTAACAGCGGAGTGAATCCCAGCAGTACGTAGGAGCTCTTGTGCAGTGATAACCAATTTGAGGCCAACCACAGTCATGCTAGCGCCGAAGGAGTAACTGTTCAGCCGACAGAGTGTCTTTAAATCCAATTCCGATGGCAAAGTGGTGCTGCAAAGGAGAGGGAAGTCGTGAAGGCGAAGATCGAGATGTTCGCCGAGCGTGAGAATCGCTGATCGTGTGTTGATGTGAGCGTATTTGAGACAGTCTTGATGCGTGATCGATGTGTTTCGTAAAACAGGCTGTGATGGAGCGACCGCGCAGTATGTGCCTCCACGGGCGGTAATTCGTAGGGCAGGCTATGATCAAAAGTAAGCGCTGTATCAGGTTGACGCCAACAGGCTGTTCCTAATAAGCTCGAAAATAGATTTCCTAGGAACTGTGCCGCAATGTCAGCTTGATAATTAAGGCAGACAGGCAGCCGCAACTGTGCGCAAGACAATACATTGTCACACAACCATCTCCAGATCGCACTCTTCGCATACGGTATTCAAAACTTGTCTGGCCTTTCTACCATCAACGATGCCAAGGTTCGGCAAACTCAGCGATGCTGCCATTGCTATAGAGCAGGCTCTAGCACCCCTAGGCGTTGACTTCGGAATCTTCGGCGAATACGCTGTAGCCGTTGTAGGAGGACCTCGAGAGAGCAAAGATATTGACTGTGCCATTGGGTGCAGCAAAGAGTGGTTGGTTGAGAATCTTGGTCGCGTGCCAGGATTCAGATCAACTGGCAATGCACGAGCGGATCTGGCCTCCTTCCTCTACGGAAAAGACAACGTTTTGATAGAATTCTTTCCGAGTCGATATTCCCTGCCAGAAGCAAGATTGAAGCGTTGGGAGCAGTATCGAATGTGTAGTCGTACTTGACGCGCTCGAGATGGAGGTCGGACATGAATTGCAGGCGTCGACCTTTCTTGCGACTGATGTCCATAGTCGGCGCAGACAGCAGTGTACTTACAGGCAGTCCAAGAGTAGTGGTGCAGTCGAGCAGCTGCAGGAGATCGCTTGACAGCGCCCTTCGTTGGTATTGCAGGATCGTAAGCGCGCGTCAAGGGGAAGGGCAAGGTTACGTTATTCTACGTTACGTTCGTTACGTAGAAACATACCGAGAGGCTAGTTCTATATAGTATACTCTTTTTCGATAACTATATACCTTATCGTTAATTCGCGAAGGGAGACGGGTATTTCGAAAGGGCTTTAAAAGTAGTAGGAAAGGCTATCTCCTATACTAATAAGAATAACGCAATTCCGAGTAGTTTTACGCTATTATATAAAAGCGCCGTAGATAGTATATTTATAGGTATTAGTATAGACAGTACTACCTATAAATACTAGCTAGGTAGCTAGTATATTTCTTTTAGTCTAGACTGTCTAGTAGCCTCTATAGTAGTAGTATATATAGATATAAAAGAATATAGTAGCGAAGATTTAAATAGGATTTATAAAAATATAGACCTTAGTATAAGTCGACTAGTATAGAAAAAAAATAGTAAAACTAGGCCTATAAACTAGGCGCCTATATAATAGGCGACTAGCGAGGATATTAATTAGATAGTCGAAAAGAGGCTTTTAGAAATAGTAGATAGATAGCCGTAGCGAGCTAGAGTACTAGAGGGAAGACTTATATCGCTCTATAGTAATAGTATAGGTATAGATAGGATAGGAAAGCTTACGGTACTGGTAGAAGAGAGAGAGAGAAAACGCGAGATCGGGCGCGTTAACGAAGTTGTGTATAGCGTGACTATACGGACCCGCGGCGGCCGCGGCCTTTCCGGATATAGTTACGTCTATTTCCTGATGCAGAAATGCCTCTGTGCGTTTCACATGTGTGTGTGGGCACAAAGGCGTCGAATTGTTTCAAGCTCATCTGTAAAGCTCAATACAGTCGAGTATCTAAGCATGTTAGTCGACGCCCAAAAGCGTGTGCAATTGTATGCACTTACAAAATTCGGCGATAGGAACTTGTCGCCAGAGCTTCCCGAGATGACACCAATTTCCAGCGTATTGCTGCCACTCACCAGCGTACCCTCCGGAATCTTAAACTCGTATGCCTCGCCATAGCCTCTGTATGCGCCTCGTGTGACACCGCGACTATCGATCTTGGTCGGCGCAGCTGCGGAATCGCTGAAGCTCCCAATCGTGACCGATGGCCTACCGGAAGCAAATGCCAAGGTCGTTCGAATACGCAGAGTTGCAGCGGCAGTGGAGTCAGAATCGAACGTGATGGTTTGGGGGCTGTTCACGCTCTTGAATAGCGCCATCGGCATATCAGTATCCGCGGACGTACCGATTACAAATGTGCCTGGAGCCCATTTCCCCATTCGAGCATCCGACGGGTGCATTCGAAGTTGTTTTTCTGCGTTGCGGAATCCTGTTGGTTGCCCATCGCAAGTTCCAATAGTCCAAATTCTTTTTGATGGCTCTTCCAAGGCAGATGCGATATTACTCGTGGTGGTCGACCCGGCCGAAACATTTACACTCTGCGAAGCAACCTCAAGCTCAGTCCTGTAGAGCTTCATTGTATAAGTGCCGGGCTTCATAGCAGGCGAGGTGAAAGAGCCAGCGCTGGACGCATAAGCCCAGTATTGAGCGTCAGCATTATACCAATGCAGTACGATTTGAAAGTCTCCTTGGATTCCCGATGCTATTCCTGAGACATAGCCACGTCCGGATTCTGGAACATAGCCGTTGATGTCCAAGTCGCCGAAGAATGAAAAGTCGAGGTCTGCGACTTTTGGAATTCCACTTCGAGTGAAAGTTAAAGCGTAGGGACCATTCAAGCCCATGCGTCGATCTTCTGTCTGGACATGGCCGGAGTTCATGTAGAAAGTAAGCGAAGTATACTCGCTGCCTCCGTTGTTCGAATTGATGTCGCGGAAGAACGGTCCTCCCGAGGCAGTCTCGTACTGTGGCTTGACGAAGCATGCATGGACGTCGTTGCCATAGACGCAATGTACGTGGTCATCGATAAATCGCTGCGAGCTGTAAAACTTGCTTCGCGTTTCGCCGTTCACAACGAACACGTCTGAGCCCTCGATGGTTTCGGTGCTGCCAGCAGTAGTTGACACATCGCCAAAGGGATACTCCGAGGGCAGAACAGAGCTGCTAAGACGAGCAATATAGCGCAGCTCACCCACTTCTGGCTCGGCTGTGATGTATGTGGCCATGTAAAGATTGCTCTCTCCACTCACTGCTACAATATAGTGCGTAAGAGTGGAGGTAGCGCAAGTGACCTTGATGTATTGGTCTGGCCCGAGTTAGTAAGGAGGCAAAATCATGTGCTGCTTAACTTCATACCATCTATGACCTGGGCGGTGACTGTTGAGCTTCCCAGACCTGAGCCAATATGCGTGCCAGGCCCAGAGCCCTGGAGTTCAGTGCCACGATAGACGATGCTCGTGACATCGCAGCTGGCTTTGTCGATCGTTGTGACGAGAGTGTTGGCGGAACCAGTGTCTAGGATGTAGGTATCGTCGGTGTAGGTCAGACCAAATGCTGCAAATGCTGTACTAGCTAGAGCAAGAAGTGAAATCAATAGCCTTGCCATATTTTGCACAAAGTACCTAAGCTACATGAGCAGCTCTACATCGGCCAAGGTCCGCGAATGGCATCGGCATTCCATTATGTAGACCGTAGGAGGCGCGCGCAGGTATTGGTGGAATATTGTACGTCTCGGGTTCAGCTGCTCTGGTGGTAGAGCCCTATATCTCCCATCAGACCCTTGCTAGCCAGGGCACGGCCAATGGTTTATTTATAAACCCCTTGCGCATGCTTATTATAAGCTGAGGTGCGGACGATGTGAAACCTCGTGATTTCGCTTGAATGTACGCCACGGCCTGCGATGCCCATTGGGACATATATCCTTATTATTGAGCCTCCCTTTCAGGCATTCGCCTCCGGTACATGAGAAGTATCTCTGCATATTGGAACTCTTTCTGATGCTTGTGAGGACTAGACATCGTTGATCGGCGTGCGGAGGAGATGATCTGGCGCAGCGCTGGGTCATTGTGAGCCGAGTAGGAAGCTTCTGCCTCTGCCCCTACGAGCACGGGTGTAAGTTGTCGACATCCACAGAAGTGCGACGGTGTTATGCTTTACGCCAAATGAACAGTGCGTGTCCTTTTGGCACTTGGAGTGTGTGTCCAGGTGTCAGGGTCCATCACGTGCCTGATGCCTGAGGCTGCAACTGCCGCACTTCTTCTTCCGACTTTCTCGTAGATAGTCTCTTCTGAATACATCAGTTACATCAAGTAGTTATAAGCCCCCTGCATTCTTCCACGCATCTTCCCCGATTCATCGACATTGACCTACATTGGGACCCAGGCGAGCTATTCTGCGCTCGGATTCATCATCATGGCCTGTTACTGCTGCATGGTCCATAGCGGACTCCTGTTCTAGGGGTCATTATATTCTCTATCTCCACTTTATGAGTCTCGGAAGGGCCTCTTAAGTGGCTGCGAGCAGCATAAACTCAAGACCTATTATATCTACGGCGACGACGAAGCAATCGCACTAGCCGCGGCGGCTACATCGAAGCCTGATTGTCTGCGCAATGCGGACGCGGGCAAGTCTGACTTAAGGCCAAGCTTGTGGCTTATTTACTTGCTCATCAACCCGAGCACAAAGAGGTGTATACATGCATCAAAACTTGCTCAGCGCACTGTATATATAGCAGGCAAGAGGAGGGACAATTTCTTTTTAGTAGCATCCTGCTCGCCCTCTTTCTGCCATCGCCAAGACATCCGGCAGACTCACGACGCAACAACCCACATGGCCTTTTAGTCAGGATGGGTGGTTTTGAATCACTAGACACGATGCGAGCGCTGTCTATGTCCTCAAAACTCCTTCTGCAGGGAGTATTTTGATTTGGTAAATGTCTGTTGTGATCCGGTGTGCTGATGATAGTAACAGGATTGCCACAATCCAAGCTCCAGACATCGCTGGTCAAGGAGTCTCTTAGGATAGGTCTCGATGCCGCAGCAGAAACCTGTACGGTTAGTCGGGAAGAGTCCGAAGCTGTGGAGATGCGTATCCCATTGCAGAATTGTAGCTAGGGCATTCCCATTGGAGCGGTATACGGACCTGCCGACTTCATCGAAGTGTCAGATAATTGAGCAATCAAAAGACCGCGTATTCAAATGCATTCGCAGCTTAGGCACGAGCTCTCGTAACTTGGCTCCACTCCCTCCTCGGATACGTTTGCTCTTGGCAGGGCTAAGCAATACCCACAGTCCATCTCTTGCCTCCTGCCTCTTTCAGCTTTTCGCTCCGGTCAAGAGGCGAATAGGCAAGGAGTACATTAGAGAAGGATTCACACCCACCAAGACCAGCGATATCCGCCGCACGTGATAGCACGTCCGCGTCAGACCATCTCGGCGCAGACGCTTCGTAATACAGCTCTGACGAATGCTGTGAACCCCTGACATTAAAAGAGATTCCGCGAAGTCCAGCACCCACATCTACGAGAGCTGCGCACTCTTCATCAGCATATTGAGTACAACAGTTGACTACCTAGAAGGCTTCACGATGCACGACATTTGGCGAAGCAACTTCGCCTAGTTCTGAGCGACAACAACGGAGCTTGGCCAAATTCAGCCCTAATCGAATCACACACTTTTTTGCTGAACCGCAATCTCGGCCAATATTGCTTACCTCTCGTGCCGTCCTCGTACCAAGATCGCCTAGCAATGCTGTGCACCTCAGAAAGCCGTCTACTGAATGCATGCCACGACTCTTGGTCCTACGCGAACTTCGATAGGAAGGTTCCATTGCATTAAACATGCTGCCGCGAGATACGTATTTTACGCGACATGCTAGTGCATAGGGAGATTGCTCATGCTTTCCTCGTCGTAAAAAGCTCATAAGACGCCTCTAGAACCAACTTTCCCGTCTCCCGCGGGCATCAAAGTAGAACGGGTCTCTCTTTTCATCCTTTAATTGATCACACCAGTCATGAAGATCTCGGCCATTGCGACACTGGCATTGGCCCCAGTGGCATTGGCTGCTTACAGCGAGCAGGACTATGAATCGGGCAAAGTCCATAATGACCACATGGCCGAAAAGCTGGTATGTAATCTGTGGCTCTTGAATCGACTTGCCAAGCTGATATTCGTGCCAGAAACAATGGTCTGCCAAGCGCGCAGCGGGCGAGTACGATAGCCGGAAGTGGTCTGGATGGAAGGGCAACAGGATTCAATGCAAGAATGGCGTTGCTGTAGCGAAGAAAGATGACCCTCTGCAAACGTTTCGATGCAAAGACATTGACATGTAAGTCTTTCAATGGGTTCTTTCGCCTCAAAGCTGACTTGAAAATCGCCAGGTACGACTTTAAATCACATGCCGAGCTAGGCAGCAATAATGGCGAGGGCTCTGGCAGCTGGGTAAAGCGTTCCCGTATGGTCTTCCAAGTCGTCGCTAATCGTGGATAGGGCTGGACTTATCGAGGACGTGAGTTCGCCGCGATCGGTCAGACTGACGGAGTGAGCTTTGCGGAAGTGAGCAAGGATGGTAAATTGGTAAGTCGTTTGAGCACTGTACTCTTTTGCGAACCATGTTGACATCTTATCAGGTATATCTTGGTCGATTACCACAACAGCACACTGCTGAGCCATCTCCGTGGCGAGAAATCAAGTCGAATGGGCCATACCTTATCGTTGGCTCGGAAGCGATCAATCATAATGTGCAGATCTTCGATTTGAGGAAGCTACTCACCATTGATCCGAAAAATCCCAAGACCTTCAGCACCGAGACCGATCTTACAGGACTCTTCACCGGCATGCCAATCGGTCGAAGCCACAATGTGGTTGTAAACGAGGAGCTTAACTATGCCGTTGCTGTCGGATCACAGCCAAGGAACGATTCTTGCGCTGCAGGACTGATTTTCATCGATATGTCGGACCCAACGAAGCCCTTTACACCTGGCTGTGCACCACAAGATGGCTACGTCCACGATGCACAATGTATCGTCTACCGAGGTCCAGATGCCAAGTACAATGGCAAAGACATCTGCTACGGCTACAACGAAGACACCCTCACCATCTACGACGTCACTAACAAGAACGGCCCTGAAGCAGCACGAATCATTTCCAGGACACCGTACAAAGGCGCCTCATACACGCATCAAGGCTGGGTCATCGATCCCAACTGGCAAACCCATCTCATCCTAGACGACGAACTAGACGAAGGCCTCCGCCCAGAGCGCATGAATCCCGAATCCCCAGCCGCAGACGGCTTCCCAGTAACCTACATCTTCGACATCACCAACCTCGAAGCCCCAAAAAACACCGGCTTCTACAAATCTTCCGTGAAATCCATCGACCACAACCAATACATCTACGACGGCATCGCATATCAATCAAACTATGGTGCAGGTCTTCGGATGCTGGATGTTAGCTCCATTCCTGAGAAACCTGACGGGAGCGGGATTGAGGAGATTGGGTTTTTTGATATTTATCCTGAGGATGATCATCTTCCGGGTGGTGGGAATGCGACTTTTGTCGGGACTTGGAATCATTTTACGTATCCGAGTGGGTTTGTTGTTGTTAATACGATTGAGAGGGGGGCGTTTGTGGTTAAGCATAATCTGTTTCGTGGGAGGGGGAAAGGAAAGAGGTACTTTAAGCGGGGAGTGTAGCTAGAGTGCACGTGTGCATCGCAAGTGAATTGAAGTTTGAGGTGATTTCGCAGCCTTTGTGGTAGTTGTTATTAGCTGGACTAGAAGACATGTTGCGCAGACACGAATCAAGACCTCGCAGATGCGGTCGACAATATAATGAAGACTTTTCTCCATCGCCTCATTAAAGTCGCAAGAGCCGAGGAAGAGTGGTTTGCAAGTGCTTGCTCGAAGCTGAATTCAATGTCTCGGCTATCATCATTAGTGGAAGACTATAGCATTTACAAAAGCCTTGCAACAATTTTCTCCAGATCTTCGTCCGTAGCATCCTTGACGCCGAGCAAAGCATTATCATTCTTGCTAGACCAATTGGCACCACACTCCGGGTCCCAGACAGACACCTTGACAAAACCATAAATCGCCTCGCCGATTTTCTCGGGACCTTGCTGCAGAGCTTCGTAAGCAGCCTTTTCCACATCTGCGATCTTTACAACCTCCGTCTCGAACGTGGCATCCGGCTTCAACTTCTTGGCCAAGCCCAGAATTTTGTTCTGCGTGACGAGAGCAGTCTGAATGTAGACGGTACGGTTCTTGGTCTCTTCCGGATGCTTCAAGATACCGACGACGGCTTTGCCGATATCAGAAAGTTGCGTCGAACTGAATTCGGTATCGCCGCCGTCAAACAAGGTTGTCTTGCCGCCCTTGAGGTTGGCGATGAGACCGATTTGAATACCCCAGTCCAGAAACAGGCCGTTGTGGACGATGGTGTAGCTGATCTCGTTCGCTTTCGTCGCCAGATAATCTTCGACCTGCTTTTTGCTGCCGAGGAGGGGAAGATTGGCCGTTTTGCTGCTTCCGGAGATGTTGGAGCCGAATTCTGAAGGGATGAAACGTTGTACGCCGGCGGCGATGGCGGCATCGATCAATGGTGGCTGGCTGCCGTGGTTTGGCACGAGACATACGTAAGCTTCGATGCCTTTGAGTGCTGAAGTCACGGATTCCTGGGAGCTGTGATCGACTTTGATGACTTTTACTGAAGATGGAAGCGCAGAAGTGTTGCCGCTCTGGGAAAGTATGGTCACATCGAGGCCTGCGTTGACGAGCTGCTCGACAATTGATGGTCCAAGATTGCCGGTCGCGCCGGAGACTGCCACTTTGGTGTATCCCATTGCGAAGAATGCCGTAGGGAATTATTTTGAGGAGGTATATTGAAGCCTGTGTCGTAGCACTGCTTGGAGGCTGATGGCAAGTGGGTGGGGTCGATCTTCAGATGCTATGCATGAGTCTTATATCACGCAGTCGACCTTGTTGGTTCACTCGCCTGCGAATCTTCTCGAGCACGCATTGGCATGGATTGCTCACGGCAGTGTCGTTCGACGACTCCGGACAGAACGTGATTGGTCCAGCTGTTGGTTGATGAATCAGCCTCATGGCGCAAGCACTCCCCAACAAAGTGCTTTGCTTGGAGACCGGGTAGGGTTCCTCGGAATCACGCCGCCCGGCTTATGCAAACACCATGGTCGTCGGCCGCCGGATTTGATTGTGCTGATGAGACAATTCAGGGGAATCAGATTTCACCGCCACGAGGAGAACATTGGGTTTTGAGATGAGGTTTCGTAGGGAAACTCGGGACACGGATGGTCTTGCGTCCGAACACTAGACAATATATCAGTCGATATGATTTCAAATGAGTGCTCACACTCGATCGTTAATAGCCACAGGCACTGGAACAGGACTTGTTGAGGGCCAGAACCGCCTACGGTCGTATATACATACAAGACTGAAACGTGTCCATTATCTTTAGATCTCCTAGCGAAGACCCAAAAAAGGTCTCTAAAAGAATACGAGGGAGCAAGCAAGATGGAACATGATGTAGCTTGAGTGATTTATAGTAAAGGAGAAAGGTGAGAGCACTCGATGCGATCGAGGCTATTCTATTCTACGTGTGGGCCTGACGACGAACCGGCTTGGCTTTTGGCAAAAGGTTGGGCCTTGTTGCTGATCCATTTTGATACCACACGCTCAATCTCTGATTTTTGACAAACACCTTCCCACTCATAGTATGTACTTCCAAAAGTCCACTACGGGATCGAACCATCTCAGAAAGAAGTTCGGCGCCGTACCGAGCGAGCTAGGCACCGCACGGTATCCATCGACCCGTCTCGAAATACATCCAGGAATTTCTCCATCTTGGTCGCGAAATCGATTCTGGATCCAGCCTAACCATTCCTGCTGGCTTGCCTGGATGACGGCGAAGTGACTGACAGCCGAGTACTGCACCAGCTTCAAGCTCTGATGCCAGCCTTTCCGCTGTCCTTGAGCGCACGTCTCCTCGGCCACCGTCTTTACGAGCTGAAAGTCAACAGCAGCATCTATGTCTCCCGCAATGACCAAGAGCGGGCCTTCGAATATTTTCGCCCATTCCTGCACAATTGGGCTATTGGTCCAGCCTGAGTGAACCAACTGGTCTTGCTCTAGATCCAGGAAGGCTAGGACATTAGTCGGCAGACATCCTTGCAATCTAGCAACTTGCTCAACCCATCGAGCGTAAGCAGTACCCGTCAAGCCCGAGTAATTGTAACTAGGGAAGACGGTCGAGATAGCATCGATGATCATGACCTGCTGAGCTAGCGTCCCAGGAGCGTAGACTTCGGACGTGTTTGCAATCGCCCGCTGCACCTGCTCAACGACCTTGACAGGAGGTGCTAAGGCGACGGTTCCTCTGTAGCCTTCAAGCGGCAAAGCTGCTTGTTGTTCTGCAAAAGCCCATGCTGCCCTTCCACCTTGCGAATGTCCCATGACCACAAATGACCCGTTCGGCTGTAGTACCTGAGGGAAAGCCTTCCGTGCAGCACCGATAGCATTAGCCACATCATTGGCTTGTGCAGGACCCGTAACCCATTGATGACGGAAATGCTGACCCGAGGGCAAAGTGTCGATTCCCAGTCCAGCGTAGTCAGGAGCTACAACAACAAAACCTTGCAGGGCGAGGGTGTATGGGACCATGAAATGATACTGCAAACTGCGATAGTTGCTCGGAGCGCATGTCCGGAACACACCAGAGGTCCCGTGCGCCCAACTTACTATGTCGAAACCTTTGACTGGGTCCGGAGCGGTATATGGCCAAAGGACATAGGCTGTTGTAGGCAGAACCGTCCCATTAATGTCGGAGGTTGTGTAGATGATGCGTGATAGCGTCAAGCTGATGGGAACCGTGTAGTTCAGCATAGGTGTCGCATCTTCTACTAGCAATAAGGTGCCCGGGAGAGTGGACTGTGAGAAGTTGGAAGGAGTGTTGTAGAATGCGAAAGAGTTGTCGGCATGCTGTGCTGCTTCGAAAGCCGCGCCGGCATCTGCGCGAGTGGCCGGGTCTGCGCGCAGGAGATTCGAGGCATTCTGTGCAAATGCAATTGCAGTAAAGAGAAGCAGTAAGATCGATGACATGTTTTCGTCGGCGATCTGCTGTTGACTTCGATCAGCACCTCAGTGCACGCATCCTGCTTTATATATAACGCAAGCCATGGTCTCTCGATGTTGCAGCATACAGCCTGCAGCTGTGTTCATGCTTGTGAAACAGCCTTATACTCGCTGCCTGAGATCAGCGTAACGAGAACGCCGAAGGATCGAACGAGAACGAGGCCTGCATTACAAGACCTGCGCCAAGAACATATCAATATGCATGCCATAAGCAGCGTGGATGTTTAATGCTTCATCAATCTGCCATACAGGCTGCACGGGCGGAAGGATTGCATTGAGCAGGTCTCGCTTGATCGAATTGTCAACATGGCCAAGGGTAGAAACCCCGGCGGCCTAAACGTAGCACTAGACCGTAAACTGCGTTTCTCGGTTTTTTCCAGTTTCTCGGTTTCTCGGTTTTTGTAGTTTCTCGGTTTCTCGGTTTTTACTGTTTCTCAGTTTCTTAGGTTTCTCGATATCGAACAGTATTATACAAGTAGTACGGTTGTTTTAGCTATAGCATACAAATTTAGTGCTATAGCTAAAACAACCTTATCGCCGCTATCCGCCTTCGGAATATACGTAATCCCGCAGGATTTTTGTCTTTGTCGTCTCGTTTCTAATAATCTCTACCTTTAACCTACTATCGAGTATCGACTATATTTCTTTCTATCGACGCATACTATACTAAACTCGAGACTATCGTACGCTATAGCAATATCGACGCGTACTATAGCAAAATCAACGCGTACTATAGCAAAATCAACTGCGTACTATAGCGAAACTACGAGAAATGCTATACCGTATCGATATTAAAGAATATCGTAACTTTGTTTAGTATATCCTTCGTACCGAGAAACCGTGTATATATTCGATACTACGTATACGCATCCTATAGGAAACAGGCACCGACATTAAAGAGCGTCTTTTAAAACGGCGGTGTTTAGAATAGGGCACTTCTATTAATAGTAGGCCGATTGTAAATAGCGGATATTTTAAGGAATGTGTTAAGAACAACTTTTAGCGGTACTATAGCTTAGGCGACAAGAAGACAGTCGATATATTACGTACCGAGGGCTTTATAGTCTCCTTCTAGCAATACTAGCGTTTACGGCGGAAGTTAGGTCTTCTACGAAGAGTAGTACCCGAAAACAAGAGAGCACTATATAGAGCGATTAAGCGTATCCTTAAGACCGTAATTGCCTCTAGTATTAAGTATAATAGCGGATACCGCGCTATTGCAAGATATCTACGTAGAAAGAACTATTTTATTAGCAGGTTAGTATAAGCGTTCTTCGTTATTCTATACCGATTTGCTTATAGTATACTATATCTATACTATAGCTAAATTATAATTTACGTCGCTAGAGGGTCTAGACATTAAACCCCTATAACGACTATCCTATCGCACCTTTCTCTTATATAGACCGGGCTACGATTTATCTATAGTATAACGTTTGCTATACTATAGACAAATCGTATTCCTAGCCTATTATCCGAGCAGTATACTAATTGTACTATAGAGACCGGATCTACAAAATCGTACGCGGTCTCGATAAGACACCGTTCCTCGAGCGCCGACTCTATAAACTACGCTTTTAGCTAGTATATAGTCGACCTAAAGCTATTAGTCCTAATAATGTCTAGTTAGTAGATGCATACTGCAAGTTTGAGGCCTTCTTTAGTATCTAAATCTACGTTTATATCGATGTCTTCTCCCGGATAATCGTTTAGTACTATATCGGCAACCTCGTAAAGACTAAGTTTTCTACTTTTAAGCAATACCTCGAGACGGTCGTCGATCGTAGATATTAACCGAGGGTTGTACGATCTAATATAGGTGTTAGTAAGCAACCTAGCGTTCTATACAATTCCCTATAGTATACGATTTCGCGTACTATAGAAAATCCCGCGGAATCTATCTTATTTCTAATATATCGTATAGAGACCCCTATAATAGTAGACGTATATCTCGAGATCCGTAAGCTCTTCGAGGGTCGAGAACTTAACTTTTCCGACTGTTTCTAGTATACGATAAGCAAAGGCAATAATATAGTAGAGCACTAGAATAGCGAACTCGTAAAGGGCTGCCTAAATACTTAGAGGGACTACTTTAATAAGATTAAGTCCTAGGGCCTATATAACCCGGATCGCGCCTACGATTGTATCGCTTTCCTTACTATCTATATGCCTATTATCCGAGCTATAGTTAGCGAGTTTGTCGAAGACTGGAATACCTATACCGTCCGATATAATACTAATACGGAAACGCACTATACCGGCGTACTAGAGTTGCTCTACTACTATCCGGAGATCTTCGGCAATAGCGTATAGGACTAGCGTAAAACGGTATATAGTAAGCACCTACAAATCCGAGGATAGATAGATCGATGCGATAAGTTCGATCTAGAGGCCTACCTCCTACTAATAATATTAGCCTTCTATTAAGACGTTCTCGAAGCGCTCGGGTTCCTACGCGAAATTTATAGTACTAAGCGTAGCATAGGCGGGTCTTAAAAGCTATATATTAAGGTATATATTGCCCTCCGTCGCGTAGTATAGGCTTATATAGCTTCTAGTATAGCTCTAATCCTAGACGAGTTTTAGCGGCCTTCTCGCGATAGGGCGGAGTTGTAGCTATCGGATCGACTAAAGGCTATATTTAGCGCCGCCCGAGAGCCGTTATAAATTATAAAGCTTTCGCTATATTCCTTCGTTTACGCTATCTTCAGATCGCCGCTAATAGCTAGTATTAGCTACGTCTTATCCCCGTAGGAGGCTTAAATCTATACTTATACTACGGTAGTAACGGAACGCCGTATTCGTCTCCTAATAATTATTACTCTCTTACCCTCTTGCCCTCGTCTATTCTATAAGTACAAGTACTAACACAGACGCACTAATATAGACACCTAGTACCTAGCCTTACGTCTCTCTTTTACTAATAGCTCGAATTTACTGCCTAAACTGTAGCGCTCGCTGCAAGGATAACGATAAGTTCTGCTCGCAATATAGGGCCGCTCTCCCGACCGAGCAGTCCGATAGTAACGACGAAAGCGATCCAGTCGCCGCCGCTGCGGCTACCGTTATCTAGGGCGGTCCTATATACAAGGATATAGGTATCTTTAAGCGTATAGGTATAGCTTAGGCCTAGAAGAAAGCGAATAAGAAGCCGAAGAAGCGTAAGTTACTAAATGCTATATATAATCCGCTCTACTAAGATATACTAAGAGGTATACCGAAGAAGGATAAGAATAATAAGAAGGATAAGAAAGGTAAGAAGCCTATCCCCGTCGATTTAAGCTCGAGCTCTTCTAGTTTAGACTCTAGTAGCGACGATAGTAATAGGCTCGCTATAGCATCTAAGGGTATAGATGCTATCGGCAAGATATATAAAGGCAAAGCTAAAGCTAAAGCTAAAGCTAAGGACGACGACGGACTACCTATCTAGGCGCGACTATAGGTTTCTTTCGTAGAGCAACTCTTCGACGTTCTCGTTAAAGATAGGGACTAAGATAAGCCTATCCGGCTCCTAAAATATAGCGATGCTATATCTATATACGAATAGGATTAGACTCTCTCTATAGATACCTTTATAGCAGAGTTTAAGGCCGCTAACGACTGTCTAAACTAGTTCTTTAATCGGCTTATCTACGACGACTACCGGGTTATAGCATTCCTATCTAAGGGATACTAGGAGCACTATCTTACTCGAAGGGTCGGGAAGAACAAAGAGTCTATACGTATTAAGCTATCTTTACTAGATTCTAGCAACTTCGATAACCTCTGCTCTATATTCGCTAGTAGGGTAACTACTAAGCGTACGACTTTCAATATTAACCTCTATAGATTAATTTATATTAGCGAGAATCTCAATATTAACTAGCTATCTAATTTATACGAGGACGAGAAGGAGCCTTAGCCCGAGCCTACGCGTAAGACTTTACCTACAAGTCTAATTAGCTTATCTAAGCTATTTGCTAGGCCTTAGTTTAAGATGCTACTATCCGTCGTACCTCCTAACAGTATAACAGAGTAAGAATCGGATCTATAATATAGACTATATATAGACGATTATATAGACGACGATAATAACGACGAATTCTAGACAGTCCTAGTAGAGAGCCGACTTCTAGTATAATAAGCTATAGAATCTACGCTTAGAATTAGCTCTTCGCGTATTCCGCTAATAGCAAGTCGTCTATTAAAGCGGCCTGCGAGCTAAGAGCTTAATACTCGTCGCCCGGGCGGCGAAAAAGAGGTTATTATACTTAGCGACGACGAACAAACTACGGCTACAAGTACCGCCGGCGGATATATATAGAAGAAGAAAACGCCCGTTTTTCGGCTACTAAAGCCTCGTAGCGGACAGTCTAATATTAGCGGACAGTCTAACGTTATATCTACTACTTAGTTTAAGGCGCTATAGAAGTAATAGGCAATAGAATATATAGACTAGGCGGGTAGTACCTTGCTACCTCTACTATCTACTATCGAGGATACGTGCTACGTATATATATATATATACGATCTAGGTATATATCGGCGTATCCGTACTTACTATAAGTACTACCTCTACGAAGATTGCCTTATAAATATGCGCTTTTATAGCGAAAAATGTCCGCTTTATCGAGAGAAGCTAATGTTTAACCGGGCATCGCTACTACCGGAGACACTTACTCGCTTAGTAACACCGGCGGCAGCAACACTAGCGGTAGGGATTACTATACCTGTTCGCTTTTAGATGAATACTAATAACCCTACCGAGACGCAGCCGATCGAATCGCCTTCTTCTTTTACGCCGGCGTAAGAAGAATATCGGATCTAGGAAGAACAAGAACAAGAACAAGAACAAGAACAAGAACAAGAACAAGAACAAGAACAAGAATAAGAACAAGAATAAGAATAAGAATAAGAACAAGAATAGGAGCAAGAATAGGAGCAAGAGTAAGAGTAAGAGCAAGAGTAAGAGTAAGAGTAGGGGTAGGGGCAGGAACAACTAAGATTAAAGCCTAGCCTTTCTCGTAGAGACTAAATTACTATTGCCGAGGCGATATCTTTATTACTAAGGCGGCTTAGGCCGAGGGTAGATAACAAGAAGGTCGTCG